GGGGGGGGTGAGTGGGACATACAAAATGCAGCGAAGCATTTGGGATGCTGTAAAGCAGCAAAACTATGGGTATTGTTCTAGAAAAATCCCTGAGCTTGACTAGAAAAACTGCCCCTGCAGCAGCCAGCTGCCCAGTCACTCCCCTCCTATGGCCATCCTGTCCCAGTGGGAAAGCTGGAAATAATAACGAGCCTGGCAAAAACAACTCTTGAAGTAACAACGGTTAAGATTATTTTTTTTAAAAAAATTAAAAGCAAATGAATGCCAGAATCCAGGCCTCGGATCTACTTATCCCTGTGCGCTACTCTAAAAATGCCATTAACAGTAATATCAGGGTGGACCTGAGTCCAAAGCCAGGACATCACTATTCATGCCAACGCTTCCCAAAGGATTTTCCCGTGCTCATGCTGGATCCCAGCACCCCCCGGCCCTGGGTGCAAGCGGCAGGTGAGGGGCACACTCTCTCTTTTTCTTTTGTACCTTCTTTTACCCCTGCTCCCCCAAAACTTGCCATTCACGAGAGACAAAGACAAGAACCAGGGAAAAAAAACAACCTTGAGGTTGAAAATGTGAATGTACCTGGAAATGAGGCAATAACCCCTCCTTGTCAATTGATTAACAGTTTTCCTTGGCGCAAAATATAAAGTATTCCTGATTCTGAGAGATGAGTGAGCTGCACTACCTGAGATCCATTTTGTTTAAGAGCATAATGAGTGTGAACCTCCTGAATACTGTTCTGCTTTGAAAAAACTTTAAAGGCAGTTGCCTTGTTAACACTTAACTTTTCTGTGCATGTGACACAGGTTTGAATTGGTGGTTGTTTGGAAGATAGGTATAGACGAAGAAGGGAGAACCACGCCTGTTCTGGACCTTCTGACCAAAGTACCGGAGCAAGGTAACGTCATTCACTTGAGACCCTTTCTGAGCTTCCCAGTAGGATGCCCATCCCTTTTTTCTGGCCAACATCTCTTCAGATACCATGGAAATACATCTTGCAGAGCCCACCAGGCACAAAAAAACCCAATTTAGCCAGCAGCAAAGCTTCATTTCCTGTATAATTTATAAAGGCTTAGAAAAAGTCTGCCTTCCTCTTCTAGGCAGCAGGTAACCTGCTTTATCCAAAAACGCACCAAGAGCTGCTCTCGGTAACGGTGCAACTGTGTGACAATCACGTTCCTTGTCACCTTTTCCTCTCAGTCCTGGAGCAGAACGTGGCACCCATCGAGAACGCGCCCACCCGCTTCCGCAGCCTCCTGCTGCTCCTCGGGATCGAGGCGGCCATCGAGAACCTCATCAGAGCAGTGGCCTCGAAAACCTGAACAGCAGCACGACTTAGGACAGGTAGCAATTTCAAAAGTAGTTTTAATTAAGATATTGTGTTACACGGTCTATAATTTTATTGAATATAAACATTAAGTTATTTTCCATTTAGAAACCATACTCATAAAACATGCTATCTGTACAATTATGGCACGTTATATATAAATTGTCATGACATGAAAATAAATACAGCCATTTAAATACAAAAATGCCAAATAAAATAGTTACATGTACAGAGTGATTTCATTATAAATTTATCTTTTTGAATCATTAATGTACCAGAGTGGTTTATCTTCTTAACATTTTCTAGACACCTGGAAAGTGTTAAAAGATCATGCACTGTCAAAATCAAGTCCATAAAAATCCATTTCATTTCACAGCTCTGTAAAAGTTACAGTGATTTTAAAATGACAAGAGAACAGTAAGAGACTCCTAGAACAAAGAGTTAAATAGCTTTCTCATTAAATTAGGGCGGAAGTAGACAATTTGAAGATTTCAAAGACATATTATGCTTAAAAAAAAAAACAATAATAATGGGTAACTGCATGAAGTAACTTTTTCCCACAATGTAAGTGTTGAGTCGAGACAGCATTAACCTGCCCAGGAAAGGACCCTACGCTTCTGTGAAGAGACAGACCAGTCTCCCACCACTCACTGCAGCGCTTCGTTCTCATGTCCTACTTCTAGGGGGAAATTCTAGCAGGTAACACGTTATGAATGCCTCACATTTCATACATTCATCCCTGAAGAAACACAACAGACCAGCCGGATGGCTCAATCTTCCTTCACTTCCGTCAGGTGTACCTTTAGCTTATTTGTAACTCCCAGCATTTTTCAAGAGAGTTCCTGCCCGGCACCACCTCTCACAACCAGAGGACCCTGCCCAAGCCCAACCCAAACAACTCCAAGTCATGTCCTTCTCAGGTGGGGACCAAAATTGTTGTTGCTTCTGGAACCAAGGGGCCAAACCCACGAACTGTGGACTCTGGAGTAACCCTGAGAGCTCCTTTTCAAGTCCATCAGCGGCTCTGACCACACGAGCTGCACAACTGCCTGCTCCCGTTGTAAGGTATGACAAAATACTACACAGGTGAAATAGGTGGAACTAAAGCAACAGTGTGTCTATAGTACCATGATTTTGATCACTGAAATAGTCTCCTGCTGTTCTGGTAGGTCAGGAAAAACTGACAGACCAGATTGGTTTCTGTCAGAATCGACAGCTGAGCAACGCCAGAGATTGAGTTTTGATGAACAGCAACTCTATAATAAAATATCTTGTTAGATATAAGGCAGACTAATTTCAAGTTTGGAATCCAGTAGACAGGCAAAATTCATTGTTACTTTATCCACTGACATTACTGGTTTAGCTAGTTTTGTGTAGCCTTTAGTTTATTTCATCTTTAGCTTCTTCTAGCACGAAAATGAAACTGTTTGATCAGCACAGACGCTTCTATTTGCACATGAAATGTGTGTAAAGTTACAGCATAAAAAACTGAAATTTTCCTGGCTGTGGAGAGTCCATCCTTCCTCCTCTTGCCTAACAGTTGGAGGATTTCTGGATTTAAAAATAGCTGTCTCTCCCCCCAGGCTTTCCTAGGAGAGGAGGGGTTATCACCACCAGCAGCTTATTGCACGGTTGTAGCATCACGTTTCAGGGAGAGCAGCCCCTGACCCTGTCCCAGAAGGGGACCGGCGCCGGAGGAGCAGAGACCGCTCTCCTGGGTCTCTGCCCACTGCAAAGCTCTGCTCTCCACGTTCCATCATCCTTCCTCTGGTCGTGCCAATATATACAGGGTTTTCTGGGTTTGCTTTTTGAATTTCAGGTAAAACGGAGCAATCCAAACATTACATTGAGGTCCCAATATAAATCTGTTTTTTTTAAACGCTAACCTACATTATTTGGAGAACCAGTAGCAGTAAGCACGTGCTGTATCCAGGTAACAGCAGCTCTCTGCAGCCTGGATTCGCAGTGTCTCTCTGTGCATTTTAGGGTGTGTAATCCCCAAGTACACGGGGAAAGTGTCTGTAGATTTTACCTTACTACTCTCAGCCGTGAATATGTCCTCAGTCTCCAGCTCAGGATCTTCCTTGAGGATGGCATCTACTGCAACATCTCACAAGACTTCAGCTGCACACACCAGCGTTTACAAAGTAAAGCCGTCATTCAGTTGCTGAAGCAGCGGTACCAGCTTAGCTCCAGCACTCACCCTGAGAAGGTGACCCCCTGCAGCTCCAGAAAATCAGATACTGTCACCTTTTTTCCGTGTCTCTTAAAAAGAAGGAGCCTGAAAGCAGCTGGTGATACTACACAGTGTGGGGTTATCAGTGAAATAATGCCAATATTTGACACAACCTGAAAGACCTGAAATAATCCGTAAAACTCAGAGTATATTATTCTTATAGCTCAATTTAAATTAGGTAAGAGCGAGCTGTGGTTTCACCTTCAATAGCAGCATGTAATACATAGAAAATAAAAGACCGGTATGTCAATGAGTTAAGCCCAGCTATCACATAACATTCCAAGATGCTTACCTTTAACCCTTTTCACTTAAGTTTCAGAAGCTTTAGGTAGACATGAGGTGGTCACAAAACTTCTGGAGGCAGTTTGGTGTTCTTCATCTCATGCATTAGTACTTCAAAGTGTTCTGCAGTAACAGGGTAGTTCCAGCGACCAGTAACACTTGAGCAGCCACCTCAGTTGTGTTTTCAGTGGACTTAATGCTACAGTTTGATATGAGGCTTTGTCAGAGCGGTCCCTCTTCCTAGCAGGTATGAGTGGGACAAAGCACAAGCTCCAAGGCAATTCTCTTGTTAGTAATTAGGCTTTCTATGTTAGTGCAATACTTCAGGAAAACCTTTAATTCTGTGCTCTTTCCATTCTAAGGAAGTAGACTTTTAGTATTAATTTGATCTGTCCTCTAGTTCCAAGGTATGGCACGTTATCTGTTCTGTCATATTTAATACATTCATTAAGGTTATATAGCAAATGCGTGGTTTAGTGCTATCCCATGTCTTTGAAAAGGCATAACCAATTAGAAATCATTTCTTAAAGCAAAAACATTCACAGCTGAAAAATGCACTGAACACAATAGAAAAAAAATAATAAATCACCATAACTGTATTCCATTAACCTTTCACTTTCTAATGTGTTCAAATAAAAATAACCTTAAGGAAACAGTTACACTTTATGGAGAACTAGTGTGCAGTCTTCATTCTCCTTGAAGAGATTGGACATCACTGGGTCATCTTTGGCCTGTACATTCTTCAAATAATAGTTTACTATCTTGCCATCCAGTTTGTACTGGTGAGGAATGCTTTCGTAGGGTTTCAGATCGAGGTCCAGGACAGAAACAGAAAAGGTGAATCTTGATTTGGACGTTAGTACCACAGGTCTTTGCTCCGAGCTGGAAAACAAAAGCACATCGCACCCCTGAGCCCCCGAAGGTAACCTTTTTCATTTGTGTATCCCCAGGCCCCCACAGAACTGACTCTAGTGTCTATCTTATAACTTTCATCAGGCCTCAGAAAATAAGCTTCAGCTACTGTAGCCTTTAGGAAACCGCAGCTCCAGCTGAACCAGTCTTAAAGTGACTTTGCTGGCGCCTCTTCCAGTCATTTTCCTTACAGCTTCCACACAGCTTTAGTCAAAACGCTCTTATAGTTACTGTGTCTGTGTCTTTAGTAAATCAAAGCTGTTTCATGGTGGTTTGCACACAAAGCAACAGCCTTATTAACTACCAGACACAGAAAGAATCACTGAAACTCCTACTTTAGGTTCCAAGTAATACAAATTGAGTATCAGAACCAGTGTCCCAGCACACTGAAGGATGGAGGACTTCCTGCTCTGCCACCCATTGCTCGACTCGTCTCCATTGTGAACTTTTCACTCAAGAACTGCAGGGTAAAGGCAGAAAACAAGATTTTCTAAAAATAGCAAGGCTTTGGTAGAGCAAACTCCCCTGGGTAAGAGCAGGGAATTAGTGCTGACACGAGTCAAAAGGGGTCATATTGTGGGAAAGCCTCCTGCCTGACTGTGAAATACTTCACCTCTGGATTATTGCCTTGGATTTACTGATACGCGCTTAAGAAAGACTTCTGTTCTCTAATTAGGGGGTTAAAGGCAACTCATCTTGAAAAACCTCTCAGAAAAACTGAACCTAGTTAAAACCACGTACATCTACTATGAACAGTGAATTCAAAGTTCAAGAAAGAATAAGTATAAAAATCTTAATGTTTTTTATCAACCTACAACTTTTCAGAAATAAACACTTGTCCTAAATCAGAACTCCATGTTATTGATACATTCTCAGCCAAATATTTGGGGACACCTCTCCCCCCCCAAAGCCTACATTTGTAAACAGTTACTTGAATGGCCTGAACTGTGCAAACGCATGGTCAGTTTCCCAACGCGCGGGCGTCATTCACAAAGAGCCTCTTACCATTCGTCCTGCAGACAGGGCGAGAGGGCGATCATGATGGAGCAGTCTTTAGCAGTCATGGCTATTCTGTACTGCTGCACCTGGACAACAGACAAGTAACATCAATCTTCCATTCTATTTGTGTTTGCCTTTAGTAAAAAATACTGTTCTAAAGAACGAGGCATTAGTACACTCAGTATATTGGTACTTTAAGAGCTGGCAATTCTCTCTATAACAGATGGTTAGCAGGAGACAAGTGGTTTTACAGCATCCTGTCCAAGGCTTATATTTATTTTCTACAGATACTTTTCTTGAAGGCCAAAACAGCACCAGGTCAGGCAAATGCTTCCTCAGTCTAGAAGGGAAATAACCAGCTTTATTCTTCTCTCAAGGACTGGTGCTGAACACGTTTGTTTTTCACTGCTTCTGCTACAAAGATACACCCTGGCACAATTAAGCACTTTAACCATGCAGACCTCTGACAGCGGTGATGCTAACACACATCCATCCATTTCCAGGTGTTTATTAAAACTGACAGACTAAATAAGCTTCAACAACATGCACAGGAAAAGTACCTTTGTTAATGCAAACGCTACTGTCCCGTCATCTTCAGTTGAAAGATCTAGCAGCTTCTCGTAAAACGCTTCATTGTAAGGTCCATCTATCTGTAACGTACTTCTAAATAAATTTTAAAAGAAGATTTACAGACAGCCACGATGGTTTGCAGTGAGCTCTTTCTTCAGCAGCCCAGATACACAGAGCAGAACAAATGAACAGTAACACCAATAAACACAGCAACTGGTTAATACTCAGAGATCTAACA